TTTTAAATTATTAAGTGTATTCCACAAATTTCAACACAGTTATGGTTCCACCTGAGTAAAAACAAAGCCCAATTAGCCAACCACACACACAAAAAGGTCTGCAATTCCACAGCTATCAGATATATTCCTGACTCAAATTAGTAATCACCTATCCTATAGCCTCTATTTCCCACATCTGCTTCCCACATCAGGGACATGGAGAGTATTTTCAGTTCCATGAGTAATACCTTAGACTGTTAATTCAGTTCAACAAGCATTTATTGATAGCTTACAATGTGCCAGGATATGGAGATAAAAAATATATAGTCCCTGGCCTTAAGGAGCTTACATTCTACTGGACTGAAGAAAAGGAGACATGTGCACAAATATGTAAATAGAAATTATATACAAAAAAAATTGTTGTTAAGTCGTTTCTGACACTTAGTGGCTCCATTTGGGGTTTTCTTGGCAAAGATACTGGAGTTTGCCATCTCCTCTAGCTCATTTTTACAGATAAGGAAACTGAGGCAAACTGAGGGTTAAGTGACTTGTTCAGGGTCACACAGCTAGTGTCTGAAGTCAAATTTGAACTCAGGAAGATGAGTCTTCCTGACACCAGGCCAGACACTCTATGCATTATGGTGCCACCTAGCGGCCCTAAAATAATAAGAGCTAACATTTATATGGTGTTTACTATGTCCAAGGAATTGTGCTAAGGCTTTACAATTATTATCTCATTTGATCCTCACAATAACTTTGAGAGTTAGGTACTATCAGTATCCCCATTTTACAGATGAGGAACTAGAGACAGATGGAAGTTAAGTGACTTGCCTAGGTTTACATAGCTATTGTCTAAATCTGGATTTGAACTCAGATCTTCCTAACTCCAGCCCAATCACTCTATCCACTACGCCACTCAGCGGTCCAAAATGATTACGAAGTGGGTAGAGAAAGGATCACTGACAACTGGAGTTGTCTTCTTGTAGAAGTAGCATGTGAGCTGAATCATGAATGAAGCTGGGCATTCCAAGAGACAGAGGAGAAGAGAGACAGTATTCTAGGCATGGGTGACCTCCTGCACAAAGGTGGGAAATAAATATGTCATTTATGGGGACCACTAAGGTTGACAGTGAGAGGGAGTAATATTTTCTCATCACCTATTAATGCAATTGAACTTGTTTAAGGAAAATAAGTATGACACCTTGACTATTTCTGGGCCTGAATTCTTATGAGTTATACAGACACCTGGGATAGTGTGAATTTCAGAATGGCATCAATTACATAATACCAGCTTTCATTATGTACTATTAGCAATAATACCAGGTATCTTGGGGACACATTCTCTGATGAACCTGATAGAAAAAACAATCTGTTGTGTTTATTTTTTTAGATTCTCTCTAGCACAATAAATCACTGAGCAGTTATCCAGAAGTTGTGATCTTGTATTTTGCTCTTTTCCTTCTCATTTTCCAGAATAAGGGAAACAATTGACTAAAGGAGTCCAACCTATTTTATTAGAATTATAATTTACAGGGAAAATTTATATCTGCCAGTGTGATTTGGAGTAAGCCTTCCTGAAGGTGGAGAAATACACTGCAGGTGTTCTTAATCTGTTTTGTGTGACAGACCCCTTTGGTAGTCTAGTGAAGCCAATAGATCCTTCCTCAGAAGGAAGTTATTAAATACATGAAATAAAATAAAATACATAAAATTACAAAGGAATCAATCAATAAACACTTATTAAGCTCCTAGTTATGTGCTAGGCACTGTGCTAAGCTCTTGGGATACAAAAAGAGGCAAAAGACAGTCCCTGCCCTCAAGAAGCTTACAATCTAATTGGGGAGAGAATTTGCAAACAAATATATATATATACATACATATAATATTTATATACATACATATATATAAAGCAAGCTATAGACAGAATAAATATTGGTACTATTCAGTTGTTTCAGTCATGTCTGACTCTTCATGATCCCATTTAGGGTTTTCTTGGCAAAGATACTGGGGTGGTTTGCCATTTCCTTCTCTAAGATCATTTTACAGATGAGAAAACTGAGACAAACTATTAACTGACTTGCCCAGGATCACATAGCTAGTAAATGTGTGAGGCCAAATTTGAACTCAGGAAGATGAGGCTTCTAACTCCAGGCCTGGCACTCTATCCACTGTACCATCTAACTGTCCATACAGGACAAATAGGATAAACAGGAAATAATTAACAGAGTGAAGGCACTAGAATTAAGAAAGATACATCTGTCTAGACAAATAGATAACATTTCATGTTAATAAAACACCTTACAAATATTGTCATTTGATCCTCACAACAACCATAGGAGACAGGTATTATTATAATCATTCTCATCTTATAGATGGGGAAACTGAGATATAAAGAAGTTAAATGACTTTTCTGAGTATCTGAGGTCATATCTGAACTCAGGTCTTCCTGACTCCAGGTCCAGTACCCTCTCCCCTTCACCACAGTAATTAATGGCGCATTTACCAATCTTCACCCAAATCACCTTTTTTATTTCCTGCTATCCTCTTTTGTGCCATTTATTTCTCCCACTTTTCTTTCATCCATGCTTGTATCTTAAACCCAGCATAAGGCACTCCCTGGCACTGTTTAGCTTTCTTGGCGACATTGAGGGTTAAAGGGTTTGCTGGCCCCTGCCTTAGTCTATAATTCTTCGATGCCCTAAATTCCTTCCTTTGTGATTCATAACAGGGATTGATTTTTTTTTTTTTACTCTCTGGACACTGTAATTCTAATTTAGTTTATTGTTATAGCTTGTTCTAAGCCTGGACTCAAAAATAGTTGATTGTCACTTAACCTCCCCGGGTCTCACTTTTCTCATCTGTGCAAGAAGGGGGTTGGATTAGATGTCCTCCCAGATTCCTTCAAGTTCTAAACCTACAATTCAAAGGCAATTACATGGCACAGTGGAGACAGTACTGGACTTGGAGTTAGGAAGACATGAGTTCAAAAGCAGTCTCAGTGCCTAGTAAGTCACAGACACTTACTAACTCAGTAACCTTGGGCAAGTCACTTAACTTATCTCTGCCTGTTTCTTCATCTGTAAAATGGGAATAATAATAGCACTTACTTCCTACGGTTGTGTTGACGATCAAATGGAATAATATTTGTAAAGTGATTTGCAAACCTTAAAGCACTATATAAATGCTAGACATCATTATTATAATACTAATAACCCTATGACATTTTTAAAAGACTTGCTTTTCTACTGGATCTGCAAAGATTTAGACCAGAATGATCCCATAATCAATTTCTTCCAAGTCACAAGGTTAGTGGTAGAAAAATGGAGTGGGATATATGTTTCCTCGTCCTCTATCTATTAGACACCAATTTGAAAGGGAAAAAAATAGACTATATAACAAAATATCCGTATTAGTTGCTCAAGCAAGACTTGCTTATTATTTTCTTCAAAATATAAACTGCTTTATTCTTTCCTTGTAAAAGTTCTCCTAAGCTGCCATTACTCAATAGAGCTAGCAAGTCAATTTCTTACCAAATTGACCTATCTATAACTTCCAAATGTGCAGACCTATAGTAAAATGAAGAGATGAGAATAGAGTTTGAGTATCCCACAGTGTCCGAGATGGGATTTTTGAAAGAAGCGTGATAACTTCCTGTTTTAATAAAACCACTGGCTTTTGAGTTGCTCAATTCAGTTAAACAAATATTTATTAAGCAATTACTCAGTGCCTGGCAATGTGCTAGGGACAGGAAGATTAAAAAAAAAAGTACTCTTTGCTTTCAATGAGATAAACACGAACACAAGTTTAACCACTAGGGGGAAAAGTATATACTAAATTCCTTATCTGTAAAACCAGAGATTTGTATAGATGGGCTCCAATGTACCCTCCCAATGGCCTTCTATATTACAAAGAATAAAAAAAAAAGTATATTTAAATAGAGACAGCTGTGGCATAAGGAATAACTTCCTGGTTGTGGAGTAAGGAAGACCTGACTTCAAGTTCTTCTTACATATATTGGCCAAATCACTTGATCCAGGAAAAGCTCTTAAGGATTAATTACATTCCTGGAACAAAAATCCCCAAATCACCACCATTAACAACCCCCCCCCCCCAAAAAATGAATACCAAGTAATTTCAAGAGGTAGAGAGTGCTAATTACTGGAGTGATCAGTTAAAAGGTGGCACTTGACCTATGCTTTGAAGGAATTCAGGGTTTCTAATAGCAGGGTGTTGCATTTTGGGATCATGGACTTTCCTTCCCATTTCATTTAAAAAGACAGTTTTCATAAATTTCAAACAATAATCCCACGAGCTATTAAAAAAAAAAAGACTGACCACTGCTATTAAATGATGATGACTAAGCTTGGCCCCAAAGAAGATATATTAGAAGGCACCTTCCTTATAGAAGGGGTGGTCTATGGGCATTGAATACCACAGATAAAGTTAGACTTTTTTGATGCCTTAGTGATGTTGAAGTGTTTTTTTTTTCATTCTTGTTCAAGATAGCTGGAATGGGGGGGAGGGGTAACTACATTGGAAAATGTAGGTGAAGAAAAAGCAAAAATTACCAATAAAAATGTATTTTTAAAATGATCCGAAGGGATTATCATCTTATTAAAAAATTAAAGTTCATTCTTTGATATTAGTCAAAGTCTCACAAATTCAAAGCAAAATATGCTTAACACTTTTCCTCATCACCTTGCTGGGTGGCAGATGTTTTTTTTCTTTTCTTCCCATTTTTTAGGAGTGAAGTTGGAGAAGAAAGACAAGAGAAGAGGGAGAGAAATGAAGTGGCTTTGGTTTGTGGAAGGGAAGACCAGAGGGCTGCAACCTGGCACTCCGCTGCTTCCACTGGTGGGATAAGCTGCCAATCTGCGTTGTAACCAACCCTGCAGGAATTTCTCCTCGGTTTTAACTAGGAGTCGCACTGCTGACTTCTCTCACACAGACACACGGAGAAGCCAGGAGAGACTGACTCCGGGAGGGAGGGAGGGAGGGAGGTGGGTAAAAGAGGAGGAGGAGAAGGAGGGGGTGGAGGAGGAGGAGCACAGCTGTACCAGCAACAAGCAGGGACCAGGACGCACTTCTCTCCAGATATTCCGGGAGCTTCAGCTCAATAGGCTCCTCGCCTACTTAACTACCACCCCCCGAAACTCTGGCTCTAACGTTATTATTATTATTATAACTATTAATTTATTGATTAAAAAAAGCTAAACCAAAGGGGGGGGGTACTTGGAGAAACTGAAAACAACCACCACAGAAAAAGAAAAAATAAAAAGCCCCAGAACGACTCAGGATCTGTTCTGGGAGTCCTGAAACCAACAAGTGAGAAGCAGCAGTAGCCAAGGCAGCGGCGGCAGCAGCTAACAGCGACAGTAGCAGCTGGAGAAGAAGGAGAGAGAGCAGAAAAAGGAGGAAGCTGAACCCTCAGGAGCCCCCGCTGCCACCGCTGCTGCTGCCGCTGCTACCCCGGCACTCTTCGGCTTTGGGACAGGCAGGAGTCGGGAACCGGGGAAGAAGGGGGGCTGGTGGTTGTCATTTCTTCCCTACCGGGTTGAGAGCGGCGGAGGCGCCCCGGGTTGTTCGCGCTTGACTGGGAGCAGCTGGTCCCCTGGGAATTATGCGGCGCGTGTGGATACTGCTCACCTTTGGCTTGGTGGCCTGCGTGTCCGGGGAGTCGGTGAGTTTGCAGAGATGGGAGAGGTTGGGATTGATGGTGGTGGAGGGATGTGTGTGTGTGTGTGTGTGTGTGTGTGTGTGTGTGTGTGTGTGTGT